GTGGACCCCACCTCTAGACAGCACCCCTCGCGACCCCGCTTGGGATAAGTGTGACAGAAAATGGATGGATGGATGCTTGGTCAGCTCTCCATCCTACAACCCTCAAAACTATCAAAGGTCTTTTTATCCTTAAACACAAAATATCTTGAAAAACATCAATATTATTGGATTTCCAAAGATTCGTCCTTCTACAAGTAGTTTTTCCAGATATACGATGATCTATATTCACTCGTTTCTCCATGTCTGAAATCATTTTCTTATGTAAAGATGACTCACAAAGAACCACTAGCAGAGGAGACCTGCTAAAACAACATAGACGTAACACTTTCTGTAACAGCCGGCCAGTATATCAAAGGGAGGAGCCTGAATCAACATCAGTCTTTTACTATTATTGTATTAACTGTATTGATATCCATGGTATGATGTTTTTATAACATACTTTACATAAATGAGTAATGTTTATTTATATCATGTGGAGCTGCTGTCAGTGGGACTAAAGATCGAAATAGTAATAGACCACATTTTAGTTATCTTTTTTTAAGTGGTTATTGTGTTCCCTCCCATTTCTAAAGGCACCCTGAGCAACTGGCTTATTATCCAAATTAATAATTGCTGTTAAGACAAGAGGAAACCCAATTACTTAAAGGGCAATTGAACAAAGTAGGTCAAGGTCTCAGTGCTCTGTGGGCGGAATGTCCAAAACAATGACTGCATATATTCTCCATTTATTAAAAGGTAATAACGCTGAAAGGTAGGTAGCCCAATCAATTGGTCTTTGGATGGAATTACTTTAAAAAAAAGTTGGATCTCAAAAAGTTTGCAAAGGAAACTGATACCTGCTATTATTACCTATCAAATGCAAGAGTTTCATAAAGTTTTAATTCATCATGTCACATTTCCAGCAGGTGTCTGCATCCTTGCTTTAAAAAAAGCCGATCCTCACCGCTTCCCCACCTACCTTATAAATGTCAGAAGAGTCGGAGTAAACAGAGACCTGGCTGAGATCAGACATCTTCAATCTCAAAGGGAAAGAGAATCGATTCCAGTCAGCTATCCAGTCCAAAGAACGGCCCTTTTAGGAGTAAATCTAGAGGGACATCAAGAGGAGAGCTGTTTCTCTATAGGGACCTTTAAAGGACATTTACTGGAGTTTTCTTACCATTTTCCATTTTGAGCAAACTGTTTATTTCCACTTTGATTGTGAAAACAATCTTCAATGTCCTCACTCCTGTACTCAGCAATCATTCGTCTGTAATCCATAATCAATCAAAAAGTCAACAATAAAGTCAAAATGATTGACAGGAGAAGAGTTTCAAGCTGTAGTTCCCAACATAACCATCCTTCCTGATCTTTGCTCCAGCTGCATTTCTCTTGTGTTTCTGCTAGAATAGGGCTGGAAAGAAAAGGGTTTCATAAAGTTGTTCTCGGCGCTGAGCAAATCCGAGTCAGCTGAGAGGCCTAAGCCCTTAGAAGGAGGGAAAAAGTAAGGCGATGGGGGGCGGGGAGGTGTCCTTTCTAAATGGTATAATCCTTCAATGGTAAAGAAACATACTTTTCTGTGTTTGGACATGCAAACTGAAAGTTTTTAGGTAACTGGTAAAAACCAAATAGTCTCAGTTATAAGATATTAATTTAAAAATTATTTTTAAGTGAAAATTCTGTGTTAGGGTTTAAATATGCCAAGTTGTTTTTTTTTAGTATCCGTTAGTGTTTTTATCATGGTCTGCTCTAAAAACAGAATAATTCAGCAGAAAAAGGTAGTGCCACTAAAAAGTGATGAAATAAATCTGTTTTCCTTCCTAAATTGCTCAATCGCTCGCTCCTTGTTTGGCATCTGGATGTTAATGGGTAATCAGTCATCAAATAAAGCCACTGACTGCATTGGGGCAGTCTGTGTTTGTGGTTTCTGCCACTTGAAGACGAAGGAACTGAAAATAACCGATTGTGATCATGACCGTCAAGTCTGCACTGTGGATCCTTCTCTCTATCACCATCCAGTGCGGTGAGCATTTCAGCTTTAATCTTATTTTGGTGCTAAATGACTGGTTGCATGTGTAAACTGAGGTACTTGTCTGACTTGTTTTTAACCTTATGTGCTCCAGCGGTTCTGCAGGAGTCCGACTACGACGATGAAACAGACGACTACTACCAAGAACCTCTGAACTGCTCGACCACAGAGAGAATCAGAGGCGGACATGTCACCTACTCACAGGTGGACATTATAAAACTCATCCTGTTTTATTTCAGCAGCACAATCGATACCTCTTTTTCAAAAGTCCAGGTGTATCTCTGTAAATTGGGATACTGCTCAAAATTGCATAGATTTCTTTAATTCATTTAAAAAAGAGAAGGTAACTAAGAGGATTGTGATCTATTAAAGCATTTAAAACAGTTAAATTTGATGTTTGTGGTTTAAAATGTTGGTATTTTTAGCAGGTAAGGCCTTCTGTAGAGCAAAAATCTCCCTCTGTATAACGCTTGTCAGCAGAGGGAGGCATGCATGCTCTAAAATCACCTGATAGACATCTTTGATTCCTATAGCTTCCTGTTTGATCTGGAATAGAATTTAAAATCCTCCTCATGTATAAATCCATAAATAACCAAGGCCCCATCTTATATATTAAACTTTTTATTTCTTATGTTCCTAACAGATCACCTTTCTCTCAATCTGCAGGTTTACTAGTGTTTCCCAGACTTTCTAAAAATAGAATGGGAGGCAGATCTTTTAGTTATCAGGCTCCTCTCCTGTGGAATTAACAATCAGTTTTAGTCTGTGAGGCAGACACCCTGTCTACTTTAAGACTAGGCTTAAAACTTTACTTTTTGATAAAGTTTATAGTAACAGGGACATAGGGACCTGTTTTGATCAATCTGCTGTTCTTCTGTTCTCCAATTCTGCAACATTTAACTGCTAACTTTTTGCTCTCAATGCTTTTTCTCATCATAGCAGCTTTCACTGTTTTGGTGCTTTTTAGTTCAGTGTTTAGTCCTGTTTTTCTCCTAGATGCTGCTTAGGGCTCGACTTGTACTGCGACTAACTGTATGTGCTCTTTGTAATCTCTTTCGGCATGAAAACCGATGCATAGCTCTTCTGCTTACTTTTTTCACTGAGGCATCTATGCAGGTTTTTTACTTTGACCTTTTCTAACATTGAAAGCATATATGGATCAGCACTTCCATGTTTCTTTTCACTCTGAATTTGTTTCTGCTGGAGGTTTTGCTGAGTCCTCTGGAGTTACAGATGTCTTTGAGGAGCCATGTAAAATAGTGGATAGGAATAAAAATTATTTAATAAACTGAAGCAGGTAGATTGCATTTCTAATGCTGGCGTGCTGGATTTTTTTGCAAAAAGAGCAGGGGACATAAAGAGGAGACAGGGGAGCTTCTTTTTTTTTTTTAGGAAAACCTTATTTTTTTTTACCCAATTTTACTTTAGAATGGATCATTTATTTCCTCCCCAGGGCGGCATGGAGGGCAGCGTGATGACCTATCACTGTGGTCCAGGGAAATACCCATTTCCCGTCAGCTTCAGAACCTGTGGTGCTGATGGAGACTGGTCAGCGATGAGACTACCCACTGGCAGACTTGTATCCTGGGCCAGTTGCAAAGGTAACTTTTTCCAAGAATCCCCATGCACCTGTCTCCTCCTCCATCTTCTGAACGCCTTTCTGTCCCCGCCACACACAGACATGCTGTGTCCGGGCCAGCTGCAGCTGGACAACGGTGAGTTTTGGCCCAGGGATCAGTGGTTCCGAATTGGCACTACACAGAGCTTTTCCTGCCAGGAGGGGTTCTCTTTTTACGGATCAGCAGAGAGAAACTGCACCGCATCAGGAGAGTGGACCGGAGCTACACCCATCTGTGACGATCATGGTGAGGAAATGAGTTTCTCTCTACACCACTACTGATACATTTTTAGTGGGAATAATATTCTTTAAACAGAACTATATTAGGTGCAGCTTCCTGTTATTTTTTAGCCTTATGTAAATCATTTTATCTTTAGATTTTTTTTTTTTGGACATTTTTTTTTATTATGACAACAAACATTAAATCATTTTATTGGAATTTTTGAGATAGACAAACACAAAGTAGTAAATTGTATTTTTACTGATAAAAAACAGATTATTATTGTTATTTTATTTCAAGTACTGTCAATTTTGATTTAGCAAATTAGTAGTAACTCAGTTAGAGTAGATGGAGAGTGTCTGGAAAACATCAGTTCTCAAGTCTTAACATATATTTTCACTCGGTTTTAGGCCATTTACACTGAGCCTCACTGGAAAAAATTTATAAGTCTAGACAAGTCCTTCTTTCTTAAAATAAGTGCATTCGTTCTTGAATTGAGGAGGCAAGTGAGACACGTTGCCAATGGAATAAGACAATTTACATTTAAAATAAAACACAATTGCATTGTCTTATTTCAAGTGCATTTTATCCAAATATCTCATTTTAAGAGTAAAAATACTCATTCCATTGGCAAATCATCTCATTTACCTACTCAAATTAAGAGTAAATAAACTTAAATTAAGACATTTTTGTTCATTTTTAGTTTTTCCAGTGTGTAACTGCAGAGGCAGTATGATGGAAATTATTAGAAAAAGTATCCCATTTTTAGAGGTATTTCCTGTTTAAAAATTATTGATAGGAATGTTTAATTTCCTTATATTAAACTTAAATTAAACTTGATGGACAGTAGTTTTGAGATTTAAAGGACAAAACCATTTATCGACTATCTATGACAGCTATTGGGCAGTGTTGGCCTAGTGGTTAGAGCAGTGCATTGTGCTCTGAGAAGGTTGCAGGTACCCAGTTCGACCCCCCCACATACTGCCATGTTGGGTTCCTGAGCAAGACCCTTAACCCCACACTGCTCCCCAAGGAGATGGGATAAATGCAGAGTAAATTTCCTCATTGTGCAAAGATAAAGAGATTTACATTTACATTCATGCAGTTGACGTTTCTAGTTCAGCTGTTAAAAAGTTTAAACTGAAAGGTGTGAAAACTTAACCAAAGGGAGGCACTGCAAGAAACGTTTCGGGAACCATTATGACTCATGAACAAACTTAGGGCTGATCTATTTGTTCAGGTTACTTTCCTCCTAATATTTGCTACATTGCAGGTGCTGTTGATCTATAATTAATTTTATTACAACCTAAAACTGCTTTTCCAATCAAAATTAAATTGTGATTTAATATATTAACAAGTTCAAGATGTAGACATTAAAGGTTTAGTGGTGGATGTTCTTTTTCCGGGTGGATCATCAAAATAAGCGGTCCTCCTAATTGTCAATCATTCTGGTGATATGTTTACATAAGGCCATCCTATGTGCTCCTCCCCATTTTCACTTACCGGTGGTGAGTCTGAAAAAGTGGAAAAAGTTGCAAATCTTCTTTTAGAAAGTAAGCTTGTATGAGTGATGCAAACAGCAACTTTTAAACAGAGCGTGCATGAGGAGAAATTAACCTGTGCATTCTCTCGCACGAGTTTAATAGGTGTTCCCTCTCGGGAGCGAGAACAGGGTTGTGCATGTTAACTTTTTTTTTAGAAATTTAGAGGGCGGGTCTTTTCAAAAATTCTCGAAAATCCTCCACAATACCTTTAATGTTATGTTGATGTTGTTTTTTTCTTATTTACAGTCAATGATTGCAATGACCCAGGGGTCCCTCCAGGGGCCGAGAGATCGGGTGACCGGTTCCGGACAGGTGCAAAAGTAACTTATCGTTGTCAGGCTGGGATGCATCTGCTGGGGTCGGCTGAAAGGGTTTGCCTGGAGAACAGGGAGTGGAGTGGTTCGTCACCAAGGTGCCAAGGTGGAAGCTTTTATAATTCAGATTAGAAATAAAATACTCAAACATGTCCATATTGGACCTTCATCAGCAGCTGTTCCCTGCATCCAGTATTTTTGTGCTTTACTGCAGCTCCTCACGCCTTCGATACGCCCAGCTCTGCAGCCGCAGCCTTGGCTGGATCCCTCGCCGGAGTGATGGACGTTCTTTCCCCAGATTCCAAAAAGAAAAGTGGGTTCATTTTTGTTACCATCAATTCATTTTAAATAGTCAAAGGAAGAAAAAAGATCAACCATGTTTTGTGCGTAAGCAGATGTTACCCGGTCATTTGGGCGAAGCTTTCTTGTGGGTGAAGTCAGTCGTATGAATGTCTACATTTTGCTGGACACATCAGGAAGCATCAACAAGCAGAACTTCGATGAGGCAAGGACTGCAACCATCGCTCTGATCAGAAAGGTCTGCATACACCATGTTCAGGGTTAATGTGACGCATAATACCCTCTTATAAAGTCTGCAACTTCCTCTCTGTTTATTCAGCTTGACAGCTACGACGTCCAGCTGAATTTCCACGTGTTGTCGTTTGCTACGGAAACTAAAGCCATTGTCAATATCACAGAAACAGAGACAAGTGGGGATATCGAGGAGGTCATATTCGAAATAACAAACTTCGACTACCACAGTAGGACTTAAATTGTTGAAAACTTTATTAATTAATTTGGAAATAACAGCAGTAAAGATCAGTCCAACATATGTCGGTGCGTTTATGAATGAAATCTTATGGATTCATTTTTTTTAATAAATCTGCGCTTTTATTCTATGTTCCAGGTCACGGGCGTAAGACCGGCACCAATCTCTATTCTGCTCTGGAAAATGTCCTGAAAGTGATGAGTTACTTAAATGAAAACAGACACAAGAACCATTTTAATGAAACCCAGAACATCATCATCATAGAAACAGATGGTAAAATTTCTCAGTGTCTCACAAAAACCCTACTGTACATAGATCCGCAATTCTCAACATCTTTAGAACTAAAGGAGGAACTAAAGTAGGAAGATATATATATAGATATATATATCTATTGTTCATTTTCTGCCTGAGCAGATCTGTGTATATCTCAATGCCTGCTCCCTGATCAGCTTCTCTGATTGGCTGATGTGATGCATCAAGCAGCAAAGGTTCAGATTTTCAATTCCAGCATCAGCTGACTGTGAAGCGTGTCACGCACCTCCATCCATTCATCCATTTTCCATCATACTAATCCCAAGCGGGGTTGCCAGGGATAGTGGTGCCTATCTGTCTATGGACGAGAGAGAGGACAGGTCACCAGTCCATCAGCAGGAGTCACGCACCTCAAATGCTCTCGTGCGCTGCAGCTCCTTTTGATGCACCTTGATGAGCTTAAATCACAGACTTTGCATGTAAACTCATGCTTAAATTGTGTTCTGCATGAATGCAGAATAACAAGCATAGTTTAAAACTTGTCTGGGGCGGGGTTATGCTGTTAAATGGGGCGTGTTACACTTTAAGTTACATTTGTTTCTTTGCTTTTTTGACCACTGAAACACTTAAGTGTTGTTATGTGAGGTATTAAGCCTTGGAAAGTTCTGGAAACTTTCAGGAAGCATAAGGGTAGATTCTAGTAGATCAGTTTTTTTATTTTAATTTTTACTGTTCATTGCCATCTTTCTGTCCTTCCTGCTCAAATAAAAATAGGCTATTGAGATTAAATGTGTTAAGTGTATTCAAATCAGTTTAAGACCCTGAAAGCTCGAGAGCTTTGAAAGGAAAGTATCTTTTTTCAGGGATTTTTGAACAAATTTTAATTCATTTTTTCATTAAATGTTGGAATGTTTCATTTTCAACATGTTTTTTTTTCTACCTGCAGGTTATTCCAACACAGGGAAAAAACCTGAAGCTGCTCTGGCCAGAATCAGGAGCTTGCTGGGCTACAGTACAACTCAACCTGACCACACGCATGAAAAAATGCTGGGTAGTATAACAAGAGTTAATATTTATATTAAACATGTGATAGGAAAGATACATCAGAATTGAAATTTTCTTTCAGATATTTATGTTTTCGGTGTTGGAGACCAAGTTAATAAAGATGAGCTGAACTTATTGGCCTCAAATAAGAGGGGTGAGCAGCATTACTTTAACCTCAAAACCTATGGCACTCTGGGAAAGATGTTCAACAGCATAATCAGTGAGTAAGAAGCTCTCAGTTAATCTGATCAAACAATTTCTCAAAACAAGTTGCCTATAAATCAAACTAAAGTTATTTGCTATCGATAAGGTGATAAGAGTGTGACGATGTGCGGGGTAGCTCAGGAAGATGTCTCCAAAGACGAGGCAGAGGATCTTGACGGTAAAGTCTACACCAAGCCTTGGCATGTGATTCTAACATCAGTAAGAGCTTTGCATTCTCTCCAGTTAGAGTAAATTTTCTAATCAGATTTTTAAATTGGGCTGTTGTACTAAATTGATTTTTCTCCCCAGCAGGGTGAATGGGGAAAGAAGAAGTATTGTTCAGGATCCATTTTAAACATAAACTGGGTGCTGACAGCTGCTCACTGCTTTGGGACAAGCAATCACACAGCCATTAACGAGCTAACTCTAAATTACGGTTCGTGGTTAATTATAAAATCACTTTACAACAAAAAATAATAGAAGATCTCATCTCGGTCCCTAAATTCAGTCTTTACAGGGATTCCTCTACTCCTCCCTTTCACCTGTTAGATGTTTGAAGAGCTTCTCTCATCTGTTACCGATTTAATGGATGATGAAATTGGCTGTAGATGCTGGTCATGCTGACATATTCAGCAATTTCTCTGATGTTCCAGGTCAAGGAATGGTGCCCTTCAATAACGTGATCATACACCCCAAATTCAACATCAAAGCTCTGAGACATCGGAATGTCTCAGAGTTTTATGACTATGATGTGGCTTTGGTGAAGACAGCCCGGCCCATCCCGCTGTCCTGGACGGCCAGGTAAGGAAGATCAGATAGACGGCTGCAGGCGGGACTCTCCTCCCTGAAATGTTTGGTGTCTATGTCCCACTGATTTTGGAAACAGACAAGCATGGTTGAGCTTCAGAAAAAGGAATATTCATACAATGTTTTCCACCAGACCCATCTGCTTGCCTTGTACCGTGGCAGCCTCTCGAGCCATGAAAAAAATCAACTCCACCTGCGAGCAGCACAGTACGTAACCTTTGTCTGGTCAGAAGGACACAAAGCACATGTAGGAAATGCATCAAAACTGAAAAAAATGCTCAAGTATAATGATTTAACATCAGCTTTATGTTATTCAGTCCAATGACCTAAAAGCTATTGGGAAGAAAAACATTAATTTGAAGAGAAAAAGCTTTGAAAAATAGAAAACACATAAACTAGACGACAGGAAGTGTGCCCCTTCGTTCTAGTCTGAAATAATGTTTAGCTTTTTATTTTGAGTTAGTGGGTCACAACATCAGGGTATTTATGTTTCTTCATTAAAATTGTTTGGTTCGGATATTTATTGACTGTCCCCATAAAAACCAAAAGAGAGAAGGGAACAACAACACTAAATCTGTCAGCCATCAGCTTAAACAGGTAGGGCTAAGGGCTAGTTCTTCTCCTTCCCTCCATTCCTGTTGTCCGTCATGAAGACGGTGGAGAGAAAATCCTCCACCTCATAGATCAGAGGAAAATTAGCATCGAGATCAAGAAAAAATGCAGACAGGTCCTGAAGAGAAGAGCAGTGGAGATATTTATGCCAGAGACCAATTTCCCACATTTAGGTGCTGCAGAGAGGCATGGCTCTGATGGGAGGACATTTCTAGAGAAAAACAATCACTTGGTGCATCTTGTCTTTGATAAAGAGTGGCTGACAGAAAGCTATAAAAATATAGCTAGCAGTTTTCTACAACTTGAGCCATCTGGAGGCAACATACAGTGAGGAACATAAGTATTTGAACACCCTGCTATATCGCAAGTCCTCCCACTTAGATATCATGGAGTGCATATCCACTGTGAGACACGTAATCTAAAAAAAAAAAATCAGAAATCACAATATTTGATTTTTTTTTTTTAACAATTTATTCGTATGAGCTGCAATTTATTTGCATGAGCTGTAAACCTCCAAAAGGCTGGAGAGCGCTACGGGGAAATTGCCAAGCAACTTGGTGAAAAAAGGTAAACTGTTGGAAAAATCATTAGGGAACGGAAGAACGTGAAACAAAAACTGGCAGTCTCCCTTGGACTGGGGCTCCATGCCATATCTCACCTCCTGGGGTCTCAGTAATCCTAAGAAAGTTGAGAAATCAGCCCAGAACTACACTACACAGATGAGTACCATCCCAGGAACACCATCCCTCATCCCTACCCCTCTACTGGGGGGGGGGTAGCATCATGCTTTGGGGGTGTTTTTCTGTACATGGGAAAGGGCGACTCAACTATATCAAGGAGAGGACGACCGGGGCCATGTACTGAGAGATTTTATGGAACAACCTCCTTCCCTCAGTTAGAACATTGAAGATGGATGGAGGCTAGGCCTTAAAGCACGATAATGACCTGAAGCACACAGCCAGGATAACTAAGAAGTTGCTCTGGAAGCATATAAAGGTTCTGACGTGGCTCTGCCAGTCTGTAGACCTAAACCCAATAGAGAATCTTTGGAGGGAGCTCAAACTCTGCATTTCCCAGCGAGAACCCAGAAACCTGACTAATGTAGAGAAGATCTGACTGAAGGAGTGGGACAAAATCCCTCCTGCTGTGTGTGCAAACCTGTGAAAAACTACAGGAAATGTTTGACCTCTGTAATTGTAAACAAAGGATACTGTACCAAATATTAACATTGATTTTTCTAAGATATTCAAATACTCGTTTCCAGCTTTATCATACAAATAAATAGTTGTTTTTTTTTTTAAATCACATATTCTGATTTCTGGATTTTTCTTTTTAAAGTTATTTCAGACCCCCTCATAATTCCTAAGTGGGAGAACTTGCAAAATAGCAGGAAGTTTAAATACTTATTTTCCTCACTGTATGCAGGAAGGTTATCTGAAGGATGGTACCAAATTTAACACAGAACATCCGCCTGAATACACGATTCCCACAGAAAAATATGTTATTGGCAGCATCATGCTGTGGGAATGATTTCGTAACCCAACGTTGGCCAAAAAATTGTTACAACTTGACTTCATTCATAGTAACTAGTGTGGGTGGGTGTGCTTTGGAAAACATGAAGTTTTAAAAAATAAGACAAAAATTTTTTACTGTTGGTTTTTTTAAATAGCCCCAAATATCATTAGAAAACCTTTAGAAGCAGTGTTAAATGCATTAGGCCCAAGATTTTTTTTCCGGTTAGTCATTAAAATGCTGTATGTTTCACCCCACCTGAATCAAAAGAAAAAAGATATAACAGTTGGCTAACACAGCCAACATGTTGCTTTTTTTAACCAAACAACACTGGAGACCTTAATTGTGGTTCTGGAAAACAGTTCTGATTAGCATAAACTTATCAAGGTTCCCGGATGGAAATGAGTTTCCTCTGCTAAGACCCGACTCCAAGCATATTTCCTGTGTATTAAGTCAATGTGTTGCTGGTCAGGGGCTGAACTCCTAGCGCACACTGAGACTCCTGCCTTCTTCACCCATCAGAAGAAAGAACGTAGAAAAACTCATATCCATCTGAAAAGCCAGGTGAGACTTTTTCCTTTACATCATAGATCTGATGGAAATTCTGCCGGTAAAATAAAGAGTTTCTGTGTTTTCTCTCTCTGCAGAGGCCCGCCTGTGTGGAGAAAGCTAAGCTAACACTAACCAAGCCCACAGATGTATCTTTGGAAGAATACGTTTCAGAGAACTTCCTCTGCACTGGGGGCTCTGAAAAACACCAGGATTCAAGCAGCTGCAAAGGTTTGCACTCTCACAGCTTAAAAATGTTAGACATTAATACAGGAGGCATTTGTGGAATTAGGAACACTGGCCAGATTGTATCTTCTCAAAACAACAGTCCTCCCCTTCATGCCATGAAGGAGGCTGTGTAACTCATTATCTCTCATGACTTTCGTTTGGAGCCTGTGAGGCTAGAGACAGGTATATCTGAAGCTTTTTTTTTTACTCCACACCTTTAACAGCCTCACGTCTGATTTTACAGGTGACTCTGGCGGACCTCTCTTTTTGCAGAAAAGGAAGCGCTTCTTTCAGGTCAGCAAATTTTTCGAGAGCCGGATAATCAAGAGCTGTTTTGTTGGAAGCAAACTATCTTACTTTTTTAACATTAGGTGGGAGTGGTGAGCTGGGGCACCATAGAAATGTGTGAAGAAGCTAAATGGACCAACAAAGGATTCAGCAGCAGCAGGCCGCCTCCCGATGCTCGAGATTTTTACATCGACGTCTTCAAGATTATCCCGTGGCTGAAGGAGCACCTGGGGAACGAGCTCCAGTTTCTCTCTTAGAGCAGGGGAGCAGATCCTGGACCAGTCTGCATAGTCAGCGACAGTCTAAGCCATCATAATCCATAGCAGATATAATCTAGGTTTGTAATATCAAATGAGGTCTTCAGTTCTATTTAATTAATAAACAGAAATACAAACACAAAAGCTTAAAAAATAAAACTGTAAACTTTATTCTGATTGAGTATGTGTCTGTACATATAACACTGAGTTTATCCAGATGTTTAAGACTTTTCCTGGGTGACACTTAAAAAAACACAAATAAATGAAATGATGAACTGCAACATAGAATATGGGCTTTCTAATATCCACTGAATAAAGCTGACTCTTCATTTCTAAGCTAATCGGACTAATATCACTGCAGCTGAGAATGTTTGCTCCAACAGTTTGCAGCACAGGCTGCATGTCAGCGTCTGTTTGCAACTTTCTTTCCTGAGGTGTCATTTAACCTCAGTTTACCAGAACGAGCAGCATAAGTCCGATCAGCCCTCGGAAAACTGTCTGAACAGAATTTCAGACTCTCTGTCCTTGAAGTGTGGAACAAAGTGGATTTGAAGGATCTCTGAGAATCCCTCGGAGAGAACTGGAGCCACAAAATGTTTCCTGCAGAGAATCGGACAAATTTTTAGCACATATTTAGAACTAAGCCGGTGAAGATTCTCAGTCATCGAGGTCACTGTCATTGCAAAAAAGTAACAAAAAAACAACAAACAATCCACTGGACTTTGTTTCCAAGTTTGAAGACATTTCACTTTTTCAATTTCTGACATTTTGAATTGAAAAAGCTTCCTGGATGGGAAGCGAAACGTCTTCCAACTAGGAAACAAAATCCAGTGGATTTTTAATTATTTTACTTTTGTGGAATATTTAGAATTAAATACACATTTTTAATCCACAAGAGCCCTTTGTGCATCCTGTGCCTTTTGGCTCAACAAATCAGGTAAGCTACGTGACTAACTTGGCCACCTCCGGATGGTTTCACTCACTTGTAGCTGTGGAAAACCATGTCGTTGACCTTGGCGTGTTTGCTGTCGGATGGCGTCATCTCACGGAACTGAGAATGAAAACAAAACCAGAAAAGGGTTCCTCAAAACCAGGATAACACCAAACTATTGTTAAAATAAATATAAATAATAAACCAATGATAAAGCGGGGAAATTATTATGAATTGGTCATACTCTATTATTATGCTTTGCTTGCTCCAAAGTGGCGGTGAAGAGAAAACAGCGGCAGGTCACTCCTGCTGCTTTGGCCACATCCACATATCTGCAGGAAACACACTTCAGCTCATCAGGGTTTGTTCTTATGTTGGAAAAACTAACAGTTTCAGCAACATCTTCCTTTAATTAATTATAAAGTTTAACTATTTTATTATCATTTTAAAGCAACGCTGCAAATTTCAGCCACCAGGGGCACTAGACCTATACAATTGTAGTCATTTTGTTTGACAGGTTTACAAACATCCTCCTCAAAGTTGCTTAGTTCTGGTAAAAGTGATACAGACTCCCTCGGGCCACAACAGAGGGATCATTTAACTAGTTATAAGTAGACATATAATCACAAAACTTATGAAAATATGTTAAGAAGGCTGAAGAGGTACTTAGTGTTAGTTTAAACTGTTTTAAAATTTTCATTAGTTTTTATGTTTATTTACTTTTGACTTCAGATTTTAAACTCTACTTTAGTTTTAATTTATTTTTGGTAAATGTTAGCTAGTTTAGTTCTGATTTGAAATGTTTAGTATATGTTTAGTTTTTATTAGTTTCAGTTAAAGTTTTAGTTGTTTTTGCAGTACGACTTACATAGCAGAGGCAAGACAAAAAAAAAACTAGCAAAAAAACATTTTGAAATAAAATCCCAGATAAGGACAGAAATATAGAAGATTTTATGCAGTTGTGGGGTTTTAACAACATTGTATGTACTGTCTCAGATGTTGGAGTTCTACAATATAACAAGCTCCTCATTGAAGAGAGTTTTACATAAATAATTGATTATATTGTTTGATTTTGTAAATAAAGTGTTAAAAGTCAGATAAGGACAGACTGCTGCCATCTGCTGGCGTAAAACGGTACAGCGACAAAAAGTAAAAACAATCAAACTATATCTTATATTAATACATTATGATAAAGACACAAATAAAAACTAAACAGATTCGCTCTTAAAAATGTGTTTGTTTAAATCAGTTTTTTAAACTCTTAATACAGTTTCAGTTAGCTTCTACTGTTTTTATTTTTATTTCAGTTAATGAAAATGTTTTTTAATTCTAGTCTTTGTCCAATTTGTCTGTTAATGACCTTGGCTCTGGGTCACATTGCTCGTTCAGCTACAGATCGAACGTCTTAAGTTACACAGGTGGGTGTTTGAGAAGAGCAGGTCACACAAAGCTCCAATCCAGGCCAAAGGCTGCATATAGACCTGAATTTAAGTTAGTACCTGAGTCAAAACTGCTTCTTCAAATATGAGTATTTTATGGTGTTAGCAGAAAATTCAGACTTTTAGAGACCAAGTAGAATCCCTTTTTCAAGCCTACTGAATCCATCCTCCACCCTGCCTGCAAATATCCTTCGGCTAGGGATCCACCCAGAGAAGTGGATGAGGTTCAGCAAACTGAAACACACCAACCCAAACAACACGTCTGGCACAGCAACAGGGCTACCGTTTGCGAGACTCTGGGTCTGGGTTGGTGTTGTCCACTGCGACGCTCTGGCCCTCCCTCAGAGCGCGCTCACAAGCCGACACGCAGTTCTGCCAGGAGCCCAGCGTGTCCTGAGGAACACGGGAGCAGAAACAAGCTTTATTGAACTGAAGGTCAACACAGGAAGCCTTGATTTAGCCGAGCTTGGCTGGAGTTTACACACCCTGTTGATGTAGGCGTAGCCTTTTGGAATAATATGTGTGTGGAAGAAGGTGGATTTACCAGCTGGAGAAAAAACAAAAAGAAAAGATTGTTAGGGTGTTGCCTGCCTGCGCGTACCAGTAAGGTGACATGCCCCTCCCTGACAGTACCTGCAGGGTAACCAACGGCAACAATAACCTCCGTCTTTGTGGAAGTGAGGGAGGCGGACGGTGGATCAAACAGCCTGGAGGTAGAGTCCAGTTTCCGCTGATACAGAATAAAACAAACATTAAGATTCAGACAGCAGAGGCTTCGTAACCCTGGACCCGGATGTGAAGAAGACTTTGGTTAAATAAAAGGATCATCCCATGAGGAGCCACAGCCCCTCCTAGCATCAGGTCTTTACAGCTGCTCTTGTTAGCTTTCTACCAAATTGCAATACAAAAGAGCGGGGCTCAGTAACTGAAGCTTAGCTTACTGGGTCAAAGTCAGGCAGGCTGTAGGGGGCGCTCTTCCAACCCAAAAAGTACTCCTCTGGAGTATAGAACTGCAGCCCGATGTTCAGAGCAAACTGCAACAAAGAAAAACAAACATTCAATTATGATAATTCAACTGAATGCACACAGGAAGAGACCACTGGAAATGGAAGAGGAGGAAGGGGAAAAAGAGGACAAGGTTCCACATTTAGGACTGATTTATACCTCAGAAACCAGGTTGTCGGCGTGTGTGTCGCAGTTAACCTCTTGGACACTAGGCCTGTTTTCAAGAAATATGCTTGAAAATAACATGCCCCAAATGAATTGAATATATCTCAAGAACTACAGAGTTTATTTTTTTTAATTGTTTTGGTATCAAAATAAAGGCACTGCGACACACTGCTGCGGCGAATATAACCAGCCCTTAAGATTTGGCCTAGTGGTTAGAGCAGAGTGTTTTTGCTCTGAGAAGGTTGCAAGAATCCAGTTCTATCCCAACGACCTGCACTCTGGGTCCCTGAGCAAGACCCTTAACCCCACACTGCCCCCTGGGCGCTGCACAATGGCAGCCCACTGCTCCCCAAGGGGATGTGTTAATGGCAGAGAGTGAATTTTCCAAATGTGGGACAATAAAGGGATTTACATACATATATACTTTCTAAAAATTATCAACAGTTTTTTATTTAGTTCTTAATTATCTCTCAGACATTTTAAATTAACAATTAAATATATGAATAACAGATATTTCTACACTGAAGTTTAAATATGGAACCTAAGACATGATGAAAGAACATAGGAAAGGAGGCATGGAAGGGTGGAAGGAAATAAGGAAGGAAGGAGAGTGAGGGACGTCATTTAGGGTACAAGGGAGAAAGAAACAAGTAGGGAGGGAGGAAAGGACACAAGGAATATGAAGACCTTGGAGGGAAGGAAGAAAATGTCAACATAATGAGGCGCACAAGGAAAGACAGAGAAAAAGGGATTTTAAGAATGAAATAAAGGAAGGAAATAAGGACACAATGAAGGTCACAAAGAATGGAAATATAATAGAAAGGACAGAAGGAAAGAAGGAAGAAAGAAAGAATCCAGGATTAACAAATAAGGAAGAACACAAAAAGAAATTTCTGACAGAAAGACAATAATTCCACAAAGGGACTAAAAGACTGAATTATAGAAACAAGGAGAAGGAAAACCAAATATCTAACATATAGACGGTGAGATATGAAGTCCAATTTCCTCTCCGGGTTTTATCAGATCTGGAGCAAACATCAATCAAATCCCAGGCTGTGTAGGAACAGTGAGATGGGAGCGTTTAGAGTCCAGTGGAATCATGAACTGAACCTGGTGGCTCTTACCAATCTGTCACTGCAAGAAAAATCCTTCTTCTTCCTCCCAGGAGCCCAGTTCTCCGGCCTTCCTGCAGCATCTGGATGCAGAAACAAAATCAGGATGCCGTATGGTTTTGAAACACATAAGGATTTTTTTTTTTCTTTAAACAGAATCATGGGATTTAAAGGAATACTACACCCAAAACATGATTAGCCTTCATTTTCTACTCACCCCCATGCT